CTTCTACTCTAAGGATCAATATTTCCATAGGAAACACACATTCTGGGCAGGGAAGGTGTTCCTCCTACCCTAAAGGATAAGAGGAAACCTCATGGCTGCTCTGGTCTACTTGCAACTGGCTATATATGGTAAAATTGGGAGTTCAATATTATGAATACTATCATCATACACATAGCTATGTGTAACAATTTTTATGTTTTTATGTCGACATCTGAAGTTTTCCTTCTTATCTCCACATGCTTCTTTCCTTTCTCCTCCTCTCAGTTGGTTCTGACTACAAGTAGAGGAAACAAAGGTACCATTTTTAGGCTTTACTCAAACTACAACAGTTTTCATAATCAATGAGTTGGCATTTTCTATAATAGATTTATCTGTGAGAGTATTTGTTGTGAATCATTCCCCAAGAGAAAGATCATCTGAGGTACTGTGATATGACCAAGTTTCTGAGACTAGGATACAGAAGATCTGACCTCAGCCATCTAGACAAACAATACTCCTATCTGTAATGAGAGAGAAGTATGAAGTCAATCTGCAGGAGAAGAAGAAAGGAGTCAGAGGAGAGTACTAGTAGCAATTTAGCTTCTGGAGCAATTTGTCCCTAAATCTCATAAACCTTTTTGCCCTTAGGTTCTATGCCACACATGGGAGGCATGATTAGAAAATTCTTTTTTGTTTGAACTTCTTCTAGCAAACAGTAGACATGAACAACTTCACAAATAGTCAACCAGGACACTCACACGGGGCTGTTCACTCAGAGGGGCCTCATACTTTGGACTTAATGTTCTGTGTGTGGTCACCATCTCAAAGTTCTAAATAATTTCACACCTGAATTTTTGTTTTGTTAGTGAGGTCTAATGGAACAATAAAACATGCAGTAGAAGCCTGGAACTTTACCTCACTTTGCCTCCCTGCCTCTCCATTGCTTCCCAGATGCTTAGTAGGGTCCTGTGAACAGACCCTGCAAGGCTGGGGTTGAGCACACATACTCTGCTCTTTCCAGTCAGAGAGTAATGGCTGCATCTCTGGTGCTGGCTGGCAGCGACCTGGTGGATCTATCTATACAGTAGATCCAAAGATCTTGGGCAGTCTGCAACATTCTTAGGAGCCTCCTATCTGCTGTGGATTGGGGTGGAGGGCTATTGAGAGGGAAGATACCTGATTCGAATCCTCTGCCTCAGGCCAGGGCATGATGGATGGACCTGGTAGTGTGGTCTTGGGCCATATAAATGTGCCAAGTTGTAGGATAGAGCTAAAGATCTTAAAAGGGTTGGCATTCACCCTGAGAGTATCTCTATACCCAAAGAACAACATTAAATAGCAAATACTGACTATCATAACAGGATGAGAGGGACTACAAAAACAAAATAAAAGCTATATATATAGTATTTTTAAATGGAAAGTTTTTCTGTGTTTTAAACAAGGATCTCACACTTTTAATTTTTCTCTGAGTTCTGCAGTTGCATAGTCATACTGCCAGTAGATTCTTATCAGTTGCTATCAAAGGAATCCTAACTAATATGTGTGCCTTTTACATGGCTCTATATTTTGAGTAATTCTTTATAAGTTTCTTTCACGTGAGATAATTCCATTTTGTAAATTGTTCTGCTGAGTAGGAAACATTTCTTGGAAGTAAATCTTTCTCCCATATTAAATGGTAAAATCTCCAAGGTCCCACCTTACTGGCCTTTTGATCTTTTCAGTATTAATGCAAGACTGGGAAAGCAGATAAACACTCTTCCATAGATAACCTTAACCCTCAAGTCAGGTTGTACAAATCTGATTTAAAACTGTTTGCAAGCATTTTTTCCAACCATCCCCAAATTCCAAAATATTTAGCAACACATGTATAGTTTCAAGACTACTTTATTTGTCAAATATGTGAGCAAAATTTTATTTAAAAATTTATAGATTATCATTATATCCTCTCTTCTCTTTTTGTTTTCTTTTGAGATTGAGGTAGACAGAAATGATGAACAACCAGGGAACAAGAGGAGGAATGGAAAAAGAAAAGGGAAAGGAGAAGAGGGAAGGAGACAAACTAATAAGTAGTACCACTATCTGGGTTAAACCAGCTATGTCTTCTTCAAAACTTGCCTTTGAAATAGAATAATGCTATTAATACCCCTGGGTTATGTTGGGAACTAAAGGAGATAATGCAGTAAATGTGGTGGCAGTTGTTAGAGCTGAAGGAGTACTTTCCACAGGTATGACAAAACATCTCCTTACATGGTCACCAGGAAAGACCATGCAAGAGAACTCACACCAATTAGTATTATTTTGGAAACTGTCCCTTGTGTTTTGTTTGTGAATGTAAGTGTAAACCATATCTACCGTACCCAAATTTATTCATCTACGCACATCATGTCTAGAAATCCTGGTATATATTTTGCGGTAAAAGAAAAATTAGTTCAAGTTATCTAGTTATCCTTGCCCAGCTCCCATGGTAAACGTTTCATTTATAGGAGGTAAAGTAACTATAAAATGTATTTCCTGAGACTAGGATACAAATCTGGTTATGCAAGCAGAAGGCAAATGTTTAAGCTGGCCAGTGAACTGCCTGTCCAATCTTCCATTCCCTTGTCCCCCTCCTCCTTCATTACAACAATATCATTTTTACTTTGTATCACTTTTTAATAATTTAAAACACATAGAATAAGCTCTCTTAGTAATTCTTTATAATAACATTGCTAGGTAAGCAGGGAAAATGCTATGTAAAAGTATAAAAGTTGTGATGCACTAGTAATGAAAGTAGGTTCAAAACCTGACTTTCCACACTCTTTCCAATCCAGTGACTCCACCACACCACAGTACTTCCTTTTGCAACATTTATGAAACACAGGATTGACACTTATGTAGGCCAATGTGATTGACCATGAGAATCACTTTAAGAAAATCATTTTCCTTAATTCATAATTTTTTATTAGCATAATTTTCAAGTGCAGATATGTTTCCTCTCTAAGTCTATAGACAATAGGAACATTGTTTGAACACATATTTGTCACAGCTGGACTTTAAAATTACACAAAGGTGAAGCTACCACTTATCATAATGGCAAGAGAAGATTTGGCAAACACAAACCTACTGATCAAAGGCAATTAATGTTATTTTATGAGGTAACATAATTCTGGGGGAAGCATTAAAATAAAACCCATATGTTGCTTCTTCGATTTATATATTTGGCATATGATATCAGTAGTAGACTTGATAATCCATGGAACTATATTATTGTTTTTGTATTTATTTTGCTTTGCTTTAAAACTACCCCCAGCCTTCTTTTAAAATCTGAACTCTAATTAATTGCCACATGGAACATTTTAAAAACCACATAAACACTCCATTGGAATTTATAGCATATAACTTTATAGTAATAAGTGAATGTTCTTTTGTTCATACACTCAAGGGTAATAAGGTGAATAGTAGGCATGCTTCTAGTGTGTATAAGTTCATATAAGTATGTGCACATTTCAAAATAATAACTTACATACACAATAATACTAAGCATAGTGTCTTAGAACTTGATTTTATTGATTTTTTTTCTTTCTCTTTTTTCTAAAATATGACTTGAGGATCTTTCGGTGTACATCTCTGTTTGTGTGCACCTGTGCGTACATATACAGGATTAGAGTTTCAAACCATCTCATTCTACTCTATGAGTGAATATGCAAACATTGTACTACTGATGGATATTTAGGTTATTTCTAATTTTAGAGAACACAAACAATGCTATAAAACATCACTATATGTACATTTCTCCTCCCTTTGAGCTCATACCTCCCTAGAATCTATTTCCAGAGGAAAATTGATGGAATAAAAAGAAATCTTCTTTAAACATTGATAAATTTTGTAAAATTGCTGTTCAACAAGTTTCATCAACTTATTCTCTCAGTTAGGTTTGAGGCTATTTGTTTACTACACATTTACTCACATAGAATGAAATAAATCTTTAAAAATTTTCCTCCAATCCAACGCATGAATATATGACTCAGTTGTTATGTTATTTCTCTCATTACCAGCATGGCATCTCTGCAGAGAGCACTGATAATATGCTGTTTGTCACTGTGTAACTTACTTAACCTTTAAAATGAGAATGATAATAATACCTACTTCATAGGGTATCTCCTGGTTTTTTGTTCATCTTGCTTCTTTTTCAATTGATTGTGTCTCTTTCCTCTTTGATTGTGTCAGTTAACACATAGTTAACACCTATACTGTCCCAGGTTCATTCTGGTGTTTGGGGGACAAGACCAAGTGGTCACTGTCATGGAGGTAACATCTTAGTGCGGAGGCAGATAATGCAGAGATAAATACACAAATACAGAGTGCTCTGTCAAGTCATTTATGAGGAAAAATATCAAGCAAAGGTCAGACTACGAAGTACTAAAGGTGTTAGTGTTGATGGGATTGTCAAAGAATGTAATGGGGAGAACCTGAGAGTAGAGACAAGAAGCATCCATTGAGGCTGAATGTATGAGGAATCGTGGGAAAACAGAATACCAATGCAGAAGAATTAAGGATGAGAACAAAGAGGGACATCAGCTGAGAGGACCCAGAAACATGATCCTGAGTGCCATATAAAATGGGAGGAGGAATTTTAATTTTATTCTAAATGCAGAGAAAAGCCAGAGCACTGACCTCTGCATGGCTAAACTTAATGTTAAAATTTCTAAACACTAAGTTTCCTACTTAAGAAGACACCTCAAATGTAGATAGGAACAATGCCCATTTGCCTCTGAGCAAAGCTCACAGGAAGGAAAATTCATATCTGCAACTGGAACTTTCCTCACAAACTCAGGCTCTAAGAGTAAAAATTGAATAGAAACACCAAGTTTTGGATCTGTGTCCCTGACACACACCCACACTCCAAAGCTAAGCCTTTGGAGTCATTTTCGTCTCTTGTTCATAGACCAGAAGGAGGAACCCTGGCTGTGTTCAGTCATCAGAGCAGTGAAACAGGTCTGCCATGTGAGCACCAAAAGCCCAGGTAGGGTGACAGCTCACCCCTAAAGCAGAAGCCTACCTCTGCAGATGGTCCCATTCCCCACGTATCCTGGCTTGCAGGTGCAGCTGTGTCCCTGGACAGTGTTGGTGCAGATGGCATTCTCATGACAGTTGTGCTGTCCACTGCCACATTCATCATGCTCTGTTTGCAAAGTGGGAGAGAAAGAGAGACATCTTTTTGTAAGTGAGAATCAATGGTGTTGGGAAAGTTAGCTGGAACTTACCAATAAGAATGGCAGTGATTACCACATGTGGGGATCTTATAGCTGCCTGGCAATTTCTATACCTGAGGTGGTTGAAATTTCAGTAACTGAAAGATGGATGTTATTTTTGCTACTTTTCAGGTAAAGAAACTTAGTGTCAGAGCAGTCACACAAGTTATAAAATTGGTAAGTGCTGCTCTAAGACCATTGTTTCCTTCACATTCTAAAAAGTTTTAGCAGAAGCAGTATTTTTACCAGGGGGAGTTTTACACACATGTGCACATACACAGAGAAACATTTGATAATATCTGTAGAGATTTGACAGAGAAAGAGAAACATTTGATAACATCTGCAGAAATTTTTGGTTGCTACAATTGGAGACAGGAAGTATTATTGGAATCAAGTAACTAAGAGGTCACACATACTGCTAAGAACCTTAAAACACACAGGATAAACCACCACAACAAATAATTAACCAGTTCAAATACAAACATCAACATGGATGGGAATCCTACGGTTAAAACAAACAAACAAACAAAAACTCATATGATGGTTGCATGGCTTCTTTAGAACAAGAGGGTAAATCTGACCAGGAAGGCCCAGCTAATATTAGCCTGGCAAAGGACATTTACCAACAAGTATTTTCAAAGCATAGTTCTGGTCACATGGAATGTTGGTGAACACAGGGTTGAGCTATGAGCGGGGAAGAGATTTACTCTCAGGGATCTATTTAACTTTCCAAATATCCTACTTTCATAGTGTTCAGAATTTAACCTATAGGTTGTTCCTGATATGTAGTGATATTGTTACATATATTCAAATACCTGTGACATTCTTAATCCACAAGACATGGATAGAAACTGATCTAAACTAAAAAAATACTAAAATATCCCAAGTTAGAAACCAAGATCTCATAGACAATTATCCTTTTCTCTCATAATAAAGGGAGTTTATAGAGTTTATCCAAATGAGTACTCTAAATAAACAATATGCAAAAGTTTATACCCTCTATTTCCTTTAACATTTACTAGAATAACTTCTTAGAAATTTTAAGAAGGAAAGTCAAATGAGGCTATTGAAATCACAAAAGGTTATAAAACAAGAGTGAAATTTTCAGTTAGGAACTTCAAAGAATAACTCTAATTAGAACAAAAATTAAAATTCAATATAGTTTGTTAAGTAAACTGTTAAATCAATGTTCTGATCAATTGAAATATCCACCATCTTCATTAATTCTTATTTTAAACTTTCTGATAAGGGCCTCATAATGAGAAAGGTTAAATCTTGCAAAATACACAATGGAGGCAAAGCACATGTATGCAACTGACTCATTTTGATGTCTGAGATTTTCTAGAGAAAAATTTTCTTTAGGCTTTAATACCAACCCAAACTGTCAGTGAGGAACATGCACAGTCTAGAAAGTAGAGAGAAGAGAAGGATTTATGAGGCCACACTTCTAATCCATGCAAAAACCATCCCCTGTATGTTCCATAAATAGTATAAACCTGAGATGTCCAATCCAATTTATGGACCTATCAAGCACATAGCATGTACAGTTCAATGCCGGATGATTTCAGGGACAAAAATAATTTAAGAATATAGATTTAGACTCCAGAGTTTTCAGTCTCCTTATTTAAATTCATTTCATAAGTAATTATTAGGGTCTCTACTGGGAATATAAAGATAAGTAGAGATGGTCTGTACTCACATGAGTAATAGGGGCCATCAGACATCAATATGTAATTAACAGGAACACAGAGAGAACTGATAAACTTTAAGTGGGTGACTTTATATTTTATCATAAGAGCAAGATATATTTTAAAGTGAAAGGGAGTTCTATTAATAATGACATTGCAATAACCGGCATAATTCAGAATGACCTAAGCAAACCAGCACATGTGGTCATGCTAGATAAGAGGAATAAAGATAGGCTGGAATGAGAATTCATTGGAAGAAAGGTATCCCTTCTAAGGGGAAGAACAGAAAAATCTCCTCATGGATAGTATTTGAACCGGTCTTTCAAGAGTGGTCATGGTTTTCTCAGAGACAGAGTTGCCCACAGAAGGCACTCCAAGTAAAACAGCAGAAGGGGAAAAGTGGTTTTATGCAACATTTCAGAAGTCTGGTCCACCTTTACTTACCTTGTCTTGTCTACCAGGATTCTTGAGCAACCCCTTTTCTCTGATGAGGTGGCCCCATTGCTGCTCTAAAGTTATATAATTACATTCCTATTTCATGTGGTTTCCCCGATCCAAAATACTCTCCCCCAATGTAGATAGAATATGTGTGTCTTTGCCTGCCTTCAAATATCATTTCAAACCCACATTTTTTTGCCATGAATAGTCTTACACCTTCTCTTTAGACTGCATGAATTTTGACCATCTTGTAAATTGATGAAATGTGTTTCTTTACCCCTTCGAAGGCAATTACCTAACAATATATTGTGGTATTATCATTAATGACTTAGCTTTGTAGAAAGAAACTGTAGTTATTTTCTGTAACTCATTTTATCCATCTGCATTTCATATAGTGGCATTGAACCAAGAAATTACCAAGCACTGAACTATATTTTACATATATTATACCTTTTAATACTCCCTAGAACCATATGAAGTAAGTAAATGGGGGAGCTCAGATTTGTGAATCTAGATACCAGGTGAACTACATCAATGAGCAGTAATTGGAAGTGATCTGGATAGGACTGAAACTAAACCAAGATATGTGAGTAGACTTCTCATTATGTCAAAAATGAAGTACCTTATTCTATACTGGCCCCAAATTCTTTGAAATCTCTTACATGCTTTCTGAGAAGATAGGATGCATGTATCATCAAAGGGGAAATACTGTGAAACTTCCATATTTCATTATCTCTTGTCTTTTCCAAGTTTGCAAAATGACTAGACTTTCAAAACTGTGTGTGACAGAGTTGCTTATATGATCCCTTCTTAAAATATTCCTTTCCAAATGAATATAGAAATCTTAAACTGGCCCGGGGCACTAGGGGAAAGGGACTAGAGAGGAGTGAAGAGGACTAGAAGAGATGAACCAATTGGAATTGTAATATACATATGCATGGAAGCAACACAAGGAAACTCCCTGTGTAACTATTTTTATCTCAAACTAGCAAAAACATCATGTTTTTCTTTTTATCTTTATGTTTTTTCTTCTATAAAATGAAGAACAGGAGGGCAGAACAGGTTCTGCGGGGGGGGGTTGGCACTATTGGGAGGGGGCAGGTGGCAGGGAAAAGGGTAGGAGGATGAATATGGAGCAAATAATGTGTACAAAAGTATGTAAATGCAAAAATGATACTTGCTGAAACTGTTCCATAAATCAGTGGAGGGGGAATGAAGGAGAGTGGTGGAAGGGGTGAATTCAAGTATGATACATTCACACTGTAAGAACATTTGTAAATCCTACAGTGTGCCCCTACCCAGCACAACAATAAAGGAAAAAAATAATAAAAATGTTATTATCACAAAAAATATTCCTTTCCAGCTTCTGGAAATGCTGCAAAGATATAAGACAAGTAATTACTTGTGAGAGGTGGTATGGCATAGCAATTATGACCACAGACTCCAGAAGCACCCAGCCTAGGTTCGAAGATTTTGGGACTGCATTCCAAGATATATGCATTAGTGTAAGTTATTCAGTCCTAATTGTAAAAGTGAACAATAGAACCTTTCTCCTGCTATTGTGGTAGAATTTAATTAGCTAATATAGGTAAAACACTCATAGATTTTGCAATTGGTAAGTGCAAAATTCACTATAAGAGCTATTTTATTATCATTGCTGCTATTACTACTACTTTTGCTATTGCTACAACTACTTATAGGCAGACTAAATTGTCATATAATGGTTAAAATTAATTGAGAAAACTTTTTCCTTTAATGTTCATGGTATCACCTTTTTTCTTTGAGGGATCATATAGTTAATGTCACGATACACAAAACCAAGAACGATCATATACAAACTTATATGCAGAACATCTTTGTAACAGTGGAACTACTCTATGGAACTTGGGGAAAGAGAGAAAGGAGGATGGGAGGTAAAGGGGTAAGGAAGAGTAATGAAAGGCTTGAATGAACCAATATAAAGCACACCCACAGTGGGCATACATTGAGACACCCCTTTGAACATCAACTCAAATATTAATAATGAAAAACAGGACTGTAAAGTAGGCACAGTGTGGAGGGGTACAAGTGGGGGGAGGATGAATGAAAGAGATTAAGGTGATAGTATATGGTAGATGGACTTCATATACCTACATGAAAAAAGAACTAAGACACCTCTTGCAATTGCTTTAAGTGGGGTTGGGAGGGGGGGGGGGGGGAGAGATGATGGGGCCAGTGTAACTAATGTACAATATAAGTTTAATCAGAACTGTCGCCATGAATCCCCCCTATATAATGAATATATCTTAATAAAAATTTTATTAAAAAAACAGGACTCTGTCTTGACTAGGTTCCAAAGATTTTTCTCTATTTTTCTAATAGTTTTATACCTTCACATGTTGCCTTTAAGTTCATGATATATTTTGATCATTTTTTGTATAAGATGTGGGGTTTAGGTTGAAGATTTTTCCCCGTGCATGTCCAATTGTTTCAGTGCTATTGTTAAAAAGCTACTTTTCCCCTTGAATTGCTTTTATTCCTTTGTCAAGACCAATTAATTATATTGGTATTGGTACATTTCTAGTTCCTTTATTCAGTCTTGCTATGTGTTTATTCCTTTGCCAATGTCAGAGTGTCTTGATGACTGTCTATTAAGAAAACCTTCATATGACATAGAGTGATTCTCTCATTTTATTCTTCTTTTTCAAAACTGTTGTTAGTTATTCTAGTTCTTCTGCCCTTCTACATAAATTTTAGATTAAGCTTGTTGGGATTTTGATAGGAATTGTGTTTAACTTATAGATCAACTTGTGGAGAACTGATAC